TGAGGTTTACCCCACCAAAAACACTGCTTCATTCTTTCAATTTATTTTCGAAAGAACACAATGGCAGTCTGGACACAGGCCACTGTGTCGAAAAAAGGCCACTTATTTCGAAAAAACTCTGTAGTCTAGCCATAGCCTAACACTGCCACCAAAAATTCTTCTCAAGTTTTCCCGCTCAAACAAAATAGAAAGATAAGCTGAAGAGAAGCATCTGCTAAGTACAGACTGCTTGTAGCATTTCTCCACTCCAAGGAGAATTGAGACTCACCAATATTTGCAAAACACATTGAACAGAACATGTTATTTAAGTGAAAGTGTTATAAATGGTTTTCGTTGCTGTCGGACCAAAACGTACTAAAGTAAATGTCAATATAGTATGTGGCTATGAGCATGAATTTAGCGATTCTTGACTTCTCAGTTTGTTCATGGTAGGATTTTAAGAGTCGAACGGAGGGCTCTGCTGTGCAGTCTTGGCTCTCATCCTTGTCTCCTGTTCCTGTCATTGTTAATCCACCAGCATAGTTGGACCATGTGAATGTCATGTTGAATAGTTCCTATATTCATGGACTTCTCTGGTGCCCCCCTCCTCTTCTAAATTCACATGTTGTTTAAATGTGACAGTGTGCCCTAGAGGCTAGCACATTAAGATAGGACTCAGAAGACATGGTTTTACCACTGGCTGGACTTTTGCAAGTTACTTCACCTTCACATGCCTCAGTTTCTCCGTCTGTAAAATGGAGGTAACAATACTTACTTTCCTTTGTAAAGCTCTTTCAGACCCGAGCACTATAGATATGTTATTATTATTACATTTTATTTTCAAACAGAAGGCCTATTCCTACTCAATAACCTTTGAGGTGGTGCAAGGTATCTATTGATGTATACAAATATGGTGAGAGCTGTAAGTGTAATTGAGCCAATAAAAGCAATTAAACAGCCCACTCGCAAATAGTGAGAGGAAAAGAGAGTGTAAAGGCAAACTCTGGGCAGATAAAGAGCAGACCAGAACTGCTAGGCACTTTTAACTTTATAAACGGAAGCTTGCTCAAAGCTCATTTGTGGGTCTGTGTTTAATGAGGGCCTAATCTCAGAAGGGTCAGAGCAATATAGAATTTGTCTGAGGAGGAAACCAAACTTCTGGTTCATTGGATAGGATGCCCCACAGCTAGTTTGGGGGCACAACTGTGAGCCAGACTGGGTTTCATCTGCTCCCCATGGAAAAACATGAGGGACGGGACTATGAGTTGAACCTCTCTAATCCAGCACCCTCGGGACCTGACCGGGACTTCAAGTAGGAATAAGAGATCCTCCGGAATAGGGCTTTATTCCGTAGCATCGCGCCAGTCTGGACGTTCTTTTCCGGCTTTTCCCCAAGCTGGAAAAAAAGCGGCGGCCATGTTTATTTAAATCCCGCGGGGGATATTTAAATCCCCCGCGCATTTCCCTATTCCGAAGTTCGAAATTAGCATGCCTATTCCGAAGAAGGGGCCAGTGTAGACACAGCCCTAGTGTAAGAGGGTTACTGAATTAGAAGCACAAGCAAATTTCCTAGAGCAAGTTTCTTCACTCAGCACACAATCTGTGGAACTCCTTGCCAGAGGATGCGGTGAAGGCTAGGACTTTAACAGGGTTCAAAAAAGAGCTAGATAGAGTCACGGAGGTTAGGTCCATCAATGGCTATTAGCCAAGATGGGTAGAAATGGTGTCCGTAGCCTCTGTTTCTCTGGAGGTGGGTGACAGGGGATGGATCACATGTGGATTACCCGTTGTGTTCCCTCCCTCTGGGGCATCTGATATTGGCCACTGTTGGCAGACAGAATACTGGGCTGGATGGACCGTTGGTCTGACCTAGTCTGGCCATTCTTATATACGAGCACCGTAGTGAAAGGCAGAACAGCCTGCAGGCTTCTCTCAAGAAGGAGGGATGCATCCCGAATCCTGCAATTACAGCTGTGAACCACCCTTTGAATGCGAGAGAGCTGCTGAACAGCAGAGCTGAGCAGAGCACAACTCGCTCGGAAAAAAACCCTTTTCCTACTGAAACATGGATCATGGTGCTCTCTCCATCCCCCCCGGCCTGTCCCCCGCGCCATTCCCAAGCCTGTGTCAAGAATTTTAACTGCCCTGACGGTAATGAGCTGTGCCCAAACTACTGTTTTCTGGGCCACTGTTTATTTTATTTCTTTATTGTAATGAAACTCAGATGGCTGCTGTTTACACTAGCACCGCGCCGGGCGAACGTGCTGGAATCGCTCTAATTAACTGCAAGCGGGTTTCAGAATTAGTGTGGAGGAAAGAACAAATTTTTAGTGACTCCTTTAAATGGAAGCCCTCATTTATTTGCATTAGGGCCAGACAAAAGCAATATAATGTTTCCCAGCCCTTTCCAGGCAAAGCCTTCGAATTAGTCCAGTGGGGGCTGCCTTCTGCTTACTTCAGGTTTTTCTTCCTCCCTCAAGGCTGATGGGAGGATCTGCTTCTTTTTTTCCAGGCTAAAAAAGGGGAAATGCCTCCAGATGCAGCCAGGAGCATAGGATCCACGCTGGGCAAACCCCTGCCTGCACACGAAATAAGTGGTAACTTTTACTGTGGTAGCCCCCTGCTTTAATGCTTCATCCATTGCATAACATGTCTGGCACTGTGTACAATCCTCCTCGTAGGAAAGGAGCCAGGTCTGTTTGGGAAAGTCAATGATCACAAGCCACAAGATTGAAGCTGTATTTTCAAATCACGAGTGGAGAAGTCAATGGAGAGTTTTCCGGTGTTTTGAATGAAGCCCTGAATCACTGTGGGGGATTCATCTAAGCTGCCTGATCTCTACAGGCCATGGAGGCCACGCTCGGGGCCACACTTATTGCGATGGGACCCTGACTTTGATCGTGTACCACGATGACAAAGTTGTGCCTCAGTTTCCCCACATGGAGCTATTATCCCAGTTTTCTAGACCTAACCACCAGGTTGTGGCTAACATACTTCTTGTTTCTAAGTCTCAAAGGGGTTGCCACATTAGTCTGTAACTTTAAAAGCAACGAGTAATCCTGTAACACCTTAGACTAAACTATAAATATATTTGTTAGTCTCTAAGGTGTCACAGGACTACTCGTTTTTATTGTTTCTAAGGCACTCTGAGGGTATGTCTACACTACCACCCTAGTTCGAACTAGGGTGGTAATATAGGCAACCGGAGTTGCAAATGAAGCCGGGGATTTGAATTTCCCGGGCTTCATTTGCAACTCCGGTTGCCTACATTACCACCCTAGTTTGAACTAGGGTGGTAGTGTAGACATACCCTCAGAGTGCCTTAGAAACAATAAAAACGAGTAGTCCTGTGACACCTTAGAGACTAACAAATATATTTATAGTTTAGTCTAAGGTGTTACAGGATTACTCGTTGCTTTTAAAGTTTTTCCTGTTACAGATAACTTGGCAATAATAATGACAGTGGTTACTTTTCATTTTCCTTTGGAAACACTCAGGGTATGTCTACACTACCACCCTAGTTCGAACTAGGGTGGTAGTGTAGACATACCCTGAGTGTTTCCAAAGGAAAATGAAAAGTAACCACTGTCATTATTATTGCCAAGTTATCTGTAACAGGAAAAACTTTAAAAGCAACGATAAGTCTAGCACTTTAAAAACTAACAAAACATGTAGATGGTATTGTGAGCTTTCGCGGGCACAACCCACTTCCTCAGATGGTTTTTGTGTCCTTATTATGAGTGTCTAAAAGTGACTTCTCCCCCCTGTTCTTGTACAGTTTTCAGACTCGCCGCTCACCTTTGCTGTGTCGTTTGCTCACACGAAATGCTCCACATAATGTTTTACTCAAAGCAAGCAAGCAAGCAAGGAAGCTGTCAGTATCTTAGAAGCAGCACTAACTGTTCTGGTGTGGGCATGTGTAAAAGACAAACACCAAGTCTGGTAACATTTCACATTTCATTGTCCAGCCTGTGTGGAGTGTTGTAAGCAACAGTGAGTTTTGAAGAGAAAATTATTTTTGCAGTTTTACAGTTCATGTTGGTAATAAAACTGTTGTGCGTGGTCTCAACCTTGTACCATACGAACCATTCAAGACCTGTATCCTTACTAAGAAAGCTAGGCTGACAATTCTGGGGCAAAACATACAACAAATAGTCTTTAGAGACTAACAAAACATCTAGATGGTGTCATGAGCTTTCCTGGGAACAACCTACTACTTCAGATGACTGGAGTTATTAAAGGTCCAGTTTCTAAATAAATGGGAAAAGGAGGAAGAAGGAAAAAAAAGGGGAAGAAATAGTCAATTAGAGTGTCCATGCTACATGAAGCTGACAGAGAAGGTGCTAATTTTCTTAGGTACCCATTCTTTGGGTTTTTATGTCATTAGGATGTGGAATGTAACGGGCCTTCCAGTCAATGTCTTTATTCGTACTTCCGTGATAGGAATCAAATGTATAAATGAAGTTAAGTTCTAAGGCTTCCCAGGACTTGGTGATGTTGTGTTAGTCTCTAAGCTACTGCAAGACTATTTATTGCTTTTTATTTAAGTTTTTCCAGTTACAGACAAACTCGGCTACCCCTCCGAAGATTTAAAAATTCTGGGGTTGTTTGTGATATCGTCACCTGTCCACTGGGAACTGAAGTGAAAAGCCACCATACCTGTGTTCTCGAGGCCATGCATGCAAAAATAACGTGGCTATCACTAGCTCTGGATGCTTCATATTAGCGTCTGGACAAATCATCTTCGCAGTTATGTTTTAAAGCTTTTTTCTCTGCAGCTAGGAGGGACAGAACCTGCCCTTTTGAGAGGTACTAAAATATAAAAGCCGTCGTTCCTACACACTCACATGCTGCTGGGTATTGGGGGTTGGAGAAAAACACTCACTATTGCAAGACTTGGGATGAAATCACAAGAGTTTACAACGCTGCCTAATGAGGGCCTTTATCCTGCAGTCTGTCGCACCTCCTGCTGACTTCATATGTTTTGGACAAACCACAAAAAGCAACAAAACTTTACTCACTGTCAGCCTGGACTGAATCAAGAGGAGAAAAGTTTCGGATCCCGTTTTCAATGACCTGTGTGGCGACAATAAAATTTTGAAAACGTGCTGATTTGTTATTAGCTAGCCCACTGTATACATCTGGTTTGTGCGGGTACAATTTAGCTTCCCAGCTAATGTATATGTCATATGTTATGTTGTATATCCATGCAACTCATAGACACACAAATGGTGTATACGAGGAATGAACCCTGTTCCTTTATGATCAATGATAGTTTTCCCATTGACTTGTTTGGGAGCGGGTGTAAGATCACATGGAGAGAAAGAGATCTAGACATACAATATAAATATCTATGAAGGTCTATAGATGATTAAATAACTTAAGTTTTATAAATTGTATTTTTGAATTTATTGAGCTTTCATTTTACTAAGATAGTTGAAAGCACTAGTCTTCAGTGTTGCAATATTTAAAATATAATGACCCTGAAATATGAACCACCAAAACATTTGCAGGTACCCCATATTTATTAAACATATGTTAATATTTGTACGGCACATAAATATGGGTTATGTAGCACACTAGTCTGCCAATAGTTTGGCAGACTAACACGTTCAGCTATTTTAGTAAACTGCAACCCTGGTAAATTGAAAAAAGCAATTTCTAAAAGCTCAAGTTATTTAATATAGTATAGATCTTCATAGGTATTTTTATTATATGTGTAGCTTTATTTCTCTATGTATGAACTTACACCCGCTCCAAAGCAAGTCAATGGGAAAACGAGCATTGATTGTAATGGAACAGGATTAAATCCCTATATGAATATGTAGTCACCAGTTGTGTGTCTATGATTTTCATGGAAATATGATGTAAAATACATAATACTTAGAGCATATCTAAACTTTTCAAACATCCAGAAAGGGCTTTAATAAGCAAGGCTCTTTCTCCAAAAGGTATTTCTTCTTTCTTCCAGTGTGGCAACATTATGAATTGTGGTCTTTTCAATGGATATATTTATGTATTTATTCCCCCCCCCCCATCTTTTTAGATACTGGAACATCTTTCCGTGTTAATTAAACTTTAAAAATATATTAGCTAAGACATTTGTTAAAACTAATTTGAGTTAAGACACAGTCAGATTAAGCAGCAATATATATTCTTTGCAATAGATCTGTTTTCCAAAAGGGTTCCTCTATGTTGGGTGCAGTGTTGCCAACTGTCAGTAAATTTACGAACAGCTTGTAAATTTAAGTGCTTTCCAGAGAGGTATTGGTATGTGTGTAAAATACTCATTTTGTTCCTAAAACATGGCAAGATTTTTTTTTCTGTGCTTGAAAAATAAGGGAAAAAAATCCTGCATAAATAATATCACTGAAGTGACAATGTACTCGTTTCTGTGAGAAGAAAATAAAGTAACTTATTTGATTTTCTTCCTTGTCTTCCATTGCAAGAAAGATAGTTACAAGTTGATGCAAAGTTTCAAGGCAATGACTCTACATATTGCTTATGGGTTACATAATTCCTCCCATGCAGATAAACTAGCCACAAGCATCCCCCTCCCAATATTCTGCCATTAGAGAAATAAGCAAAATTTGACAACATTGCAAGAGGTAATAAGAGGATAATAATATTAAGGTTAATAATAATAACCCCTTTGGGGTTCTTTGTTCAATAATAGCAAATGCAGATCTGCAATCTAAACTTATAGCAAGAGTGAAAGCTTCGGGGGGAAATGCATTTGACATTTCAAAAGTGTATTTCTTGGAAAGGTGCAAGCTATATCTATTTCCGGGGAATCGTATGGAAGCAGAGGGAAGGTATATGCAACAGCGTAGCTACAAGAGGTTTGTCAAGCCTGCTGAAGCCCTGGATTCCAGGGTAGAGGGGAAGCAATTGTTCAGTGTGCTTTTCAACAGAGATATTTGCAAAATATATCGCTGCCCTGCCTCTTTAAAATTGAGACGTAAAGACAGAACATTTGCATCAGCCCGACCTTCCCCAAAGAAACAGATAAAAATGCTCACTTCAGCTATCCCAAAAGCTAAGCGTCAAGAAAAGGGAACTCTTCTCCCCCCAGATATCTTGCCTTTGTTGTCTTACTTCCTGCAGGCTTATATATCCCAAACTTCAAGGCATCAGCTGCCTCTCTGGCCAGTGGAGCTCCTGGAAATCCACTTGCTGTTATTCAAGTGTGGGTGTAATCAGCTGTTTTGGGCAAGGGTTTTAAACCCCCTCCCCTCCATGCAAGAGTCCTTTGGGCCAGCACCACCCGGTCATATCTTCACCTAAGAGAAATCTCTCCTCTGTAGCCTGTATGGTAGAGCTGTTCGCAGCCCCGTAGATCACTGCTCTGTGGATGATACTGCACTTCATTAGCGTACAGAACTCCCATTCATACCCAGAGTCTACCGAGATACAGAACTGCCATTGAAGTTGGGGTGTAAATTCCCCTTTAAAAAGTTAACCGATTAAACATTAAGCTTAATCTGTTAACCGGGATCCTGCAGGCGGAGGGCCCACCCAAAGTGCCGGTTAACTGTTTATCTGGTAAGGGTGATATTTCCTGGGTAACCGGTTAACTGGTTAACCCTTTACATCCCTATATTGATGGTACTGGCCAGATTAACCTAGATAAGTTAAACAGATAGGCCACTGAAGTTTCAGGTGTGGTCTGAATAAAGAACATTGACTAAGATTTCGCTGTATGAGCTGAATGGCAACAAGAATACAATGGACATAATTCTCTCAAAGTGATGGCCTAATATTTGATCAGCACATTAGTGCTGCATAACTGAAGAGCTTCCCTTGTCAAGATAACAGGAAGTGGATTGTTCCTAAGTTTCAGAGGGGGAGCCAAGTTAGTCTGTAACACAAAAAACTAAAAAAACAACAAATGGTCTGGTAGAACTTTAACGACTAACAAAACATGTAGATAGTATCATGAGCTTTCGTGGGCACAGCCTACAGTCCTTCAATTCCTACATGTAGCATTGCCTCCAGAGAGAAAGGATTCTTTAGTGATTAAGACATAGTACATAGACTTAGGAGATTGAGTTTTAGTTCTCCATTCTGCTACTGACTTTGTGTTTGGCCTTGGTCATGTTGCTTAATGTTGCAATTATTTCCCACCCCTCCCCTCCCGTTCTGTACAGGACCTGGCTCAAAGATAACCTGGTCTGGAAGTGCCACTGTAATGTAAATAATAACAGACACATTCGCCACATGGTATTTAATTACAGCCGCTCCCTGAGTTACGACCATCTCCACTTACGACCATCTGCACTTATGACCAAAGTGGTCGTAAATGCAGATCTGAGTTAAGAATGGTGATCCACGCTTACGAACACCGCGGTCACCATGTAACTCTATGGGATCCGAGTTACGAACACTTCGAGTTACGGACCAAGTGTGGGTCCGTAACGTGTTCGTAACTCGGGGAGCAGCTGTATCTAAGTGGATGTGGATACGATCTTTAGGTCTCCTTGTTTGAAAATTTGGATCGGCACCAACCCGAAAGAAGCAACACAAATTGAGCGACGTCAATTGCGTTGCTTACGTCGAAATAGCTTATTTCGAAATTGGGAGCATCCACACAGCACTTACTTTGAAATAAAGTACTCTTCCTCCGATTTCCCTTACTCCTCATACAATGAGGGTTACAGGAGTCAAAGTAAGAAGTCCTTCAGCTTGACAGTATTTCAACACTATTTCAAAATAACTGCCTGCTGTGTAGTTGCGGACTATGTTATTTTGGAATAGCACTTCAGTGTAGATATACCCTCAGAGAAAAAACATATCGCATTCTTTTTGCTAGTGCTGTTTCCATACTGGTATAAGAATGGCGGGGTTTCTATACCATGGTGATTACAGTAGGAATGCCCACCTGAACATTTATTTTTTTTAAAAATAGAGTTAGAACAGGTGACTACCCAAAAAGCTTGAGGGGAAAGGAGTGGCGTTCTTGCTGCAAACAGGTGAGTAAGCAAAGTTCTAACCAGACACTGAGAAAAAAACAGAACCCCGCCCCTGCTTCCTCTTCTCCCCCCCTCAAAAATCATTGGGAGTTTTAAAGATAATCTGGATTCAAAGGCTGATCAGGATTTTTATTTGATGCCCCCCTGCCCACTTCGAATTTCACAGGGAGAACAGTAAACTGATTAATACTTATTTCTTTGGCTGGATTCACTTTTTTGCCTATTTATTCCCTCGTGTACAGAGACGACTGCCGCTGAAATTTCAGCCTGTATTGGAGCCTGGGGAGACTTTCTCCTTGCAGCAGAGAGCAGTTTGGAAACGAGGCGTGAGTAAGAGTGCGTCAAATCGTTGGCTTCGATTTTCCCAGGAGCTTCGGGGTGTTAGGCAAGTCCAACTCCCTCTGAGTGTCAATGGGATTTGGGTATCCCGATCCCTTTGAAAATTATTTCCCTTCTTCAAGAAATCCATCCAGAAGATGGTACTATGAAAAGAAAACAGGCCTGAAACTTACCCAATGTGCCAGAGAAGAGAAAGTTACGAGAACTGCAGCTGAAAACAAAATGTGAGGCCGTGGGCAGTGCCTGCTCAGGAGAAGGCCTTGATTATTGTAGTATCCCCCACCATTTGGCAGAGACAGGAATTGCAGCAAGGTCAATGGATGGCAGACTGTGAGCTTTTCAGGGACGGTCTTTTTGTTACATGTATGTTTGATGCCGACCACAAGGCCTTAGTCTTTGATGGGGCATCTGGATGCTAGTAAAATACTGCTACTACTAGTAATAATACCTTGCTTGAATGTAAGACCATTGACTATGTGTTTGATTTTTAATAAACAAATAAATAAAAATAATGATAATGATAATAATAATTTCAAAAGCTCGTCTATGGCATTTTTCAGCAGCAGATCTGAAAGCCTTTGCAAAGGAAGTCAGAGTCATTATCTCCATTTTACACATGGGGAAACTGAGGAACAGGGCAGGGACGTGACTTGCCCATGGTCACCCAGCAGGCTGGCCATGGAGCTAGGAACACAATGGAGGTCTCCTGAGGTCTAGTCCTTTGCTTTATCCATTAGGCCACAGTAAATTCCCCTCCCCCCCATACAAATAATTATTTTTAATGTGAATACTCTTGAATATGATCATGTTGTGGGGTGGGGGGTGGTTATAAAGATAAGTCCTTAGAAATCCTAGAGTGTTATCAAATCTGTCCACTATGTGGCCCCTGGTTAACACCATGCTGGTCGTGTTAGAAATACATAGGAAAGTTAGATAGACATTTTGGTTTTAATGTTTTACACCTAGAGAGCAGACACTCTACAAGTTCCGGAACCCACATGCTTAATTTAAGCACTACTCCATGAAGCCAATACACTACTGTGTTCTTGAAGTTGAGCGTATGGTTAAGTGCCTTGTGGAGTGAGGCCCAGATACCGTACATAGAGAGGTAAGATGGGTATTAAAATCTTGCATTGGCAGCTCTTACAGTTATATATGCTATTTCCTACATTGAGATTGAAGAATTAATACAAATGCCATAAATTCATGTTTTTAATTCCTTTGCCTACCTCAGGTAGGCACATAGATAGATGCCAAAAAAGAGATTATATAGTGCTCAAAGATACAGAAGAAAAGAGTTTTATCTCCAGTATCTGAAGGAGAACAGTCAAATAACCTTCATTCAGGAGCAGTCCACGGCTGGCTGCAGCAGCTGGCGCCCCAGGCGGAAGGCGCGATCGGCGCCCCCGCCTGCACAGTCGTCAATGGCCGTGACGTAATCACAGGCTGCCCCTGCCTTCATTTAACCTCCCTGGACATTCAATAATGGATTTGAAAGTAGCTATCCTTCTACAAAAGAATTTCAAAACCTGTTTACAGAGGGTGACAGCAGAACTGGAATTTATATGCAAATTCAACACTATCAATTTAGGATTGAATAAGGATCCTAACTGCTTAACACATTACAAAGGCAATTTCCACCTCTCTTGATATCCACGTTTCCACATCAGCTGCTATGAGTGAGCAATTTCCGCCCTGCCTTGATTAACCTCATTTACACAAGTGCCCTCTTTCTTTTGTTGTCCTTATATATCCCCTTGCCCCGGTAAATTTCACTCCAATGCATCTGATTAAGCGGGTTTTACCTATGAAAGCTTATGCCCTAATAAGTCTGCTAGTCTCTAAGGTGCCACAGGACTCATTGTTTTATCATTTAAAAGTGAATTGTCCTGAATCTGCCTAGCACCACACTTTTGCTCCAACACAAAACTCAGACTCTAGAGTCTGAAATATTGAGGATAAATTAAGCCCTTTTATGAACATACACTATTTGTGGCTTCTTCAGATTTGGATTAGAAAGCAGGTGAAAGCTGACTATTAAATTATGTTAAGAGATATTGGATTCCACTGAACTCAACGCTTGTAGTGAAACTCTTCTCATATGAATCAGAAACCGACTCTGATCAGTTGAAAACATTTGCATGGGCTTGTGTCAAGTGAAACCACAAACTATTACAGGACTGTCCTCCTTACATTGCTAAGATGCAAGTTCTAAGGCCAAGTGCTCGCTATGGGGAAGATCAATGCTGCTGCAATCGATCTTCCAGAGTTCAATGTAGCGGGTCTGGTAAAGACCCGCTACATCAAACTCAGAAAGTGCTTCCATCGGTGGCTGGTATTTCTCCTCCTCCCAAGGAGCCTCCCACTGTGAAGACCACACGGAATCTTGAATTAAGGTTGGTTGATTCCAGCTACGTTAATTACGTAGCTGGAATTGTGTATCTTAATTTGACCTTCCCATGTAGTAGAGACTGGATCTACATCTGATGTTCCAGCTGATCACGTGGCCATTCATTCCTAAATCATTGCAGGCAACTTTAGATAGTCACGATTTTATTAGTTGCTTTAGTGCAAATCCAAAGTTGGAGTTCAGTGCCTGACTGGAAATTCAAGGGGAAAACTCTGCGTTAAATTCTTAGCTTAAAATAATTTATTTGTAAATCTTTAGTGCATACCTAAGTCAGAATTCAGCTAAGTTAATGAAGTTGGAGCAGGGGTGAAATTGTTCTACAGTCTGTTACTGATTTGAGATCTCAAACAGACCAGAATCGTTGAGATTTTAACCTCTTTTTCTTGTCTTTTTTTTTCTTAAAGAAGAGCATATGAGTTCCCCTATGAGGTCCATTAATAGAATACCTCTCAGTAAAAGAAAATGACTTTGGAAGCCATGTTGAGACATTTCCTGCAACAACACATACAATTTAATTGACAAAGGCTAGGATGGGAAACTGAGGCAGAAAAACTTGCCCAAAGTCATTCATCAAGGCAGTGGCAGCAGAGCTAGGAATATTACTTACATATCCTGTATCCTAG